AAAAAAAAAAGACTAAAGCAGAAACATCGCTGTGATGAATGTATTATGTGTATCTAAAGTGTATCAATAAAATCCAAATGAAACAAATTATCTCTGTGGATGTTACTATTTACTACTTTTTCTTTTACAAGTTCTGTGTTCCAATAGAAATAAAGGTTGGAAGGAGACAAAATATGTGCTTCTGGTGGACAGAGATGTCCTGGCAGCTGAGTCTGAGAACCCAAATCGTGTATGGGTGAAAGAATTAAGCTTTGGCTGGAAAGTAACAGGCAGCAGTCACTGACCAGTCAGGACCAGTAGTCAGTTACCAGAGGTCTCCGATGTCTGCGTGAGGGTTGGGACTGACAGACGCTGGCTCTCTGGCACTACACAGCACAGCTCCATCATCACTGTGCTCCGTGGGGACCGCCACTGCTGGCCAGCATGAGCAGTGGGTGTCCCCTCTCTGCAATGCCCAAAACTCCCCACAGCAGCCCACACCCTAGAAAGTGCCAACCTAAACCAAGGATCCCATTTAGGGCCTGAAGCTGTAATCAAAGGCACCACTGAGCTCTTGGCCCAATCCTGAGCACAGAAATGAGTGTGGCTCCACTGCCCCCAGAGGCAGTGCGCTGGGGCTTCTGCCCACCTTCCTGTCCACTGCAGAGTCTGTGCTGTGCTTGTGTCCCCGCACAGGGCTGCCCTGCTCCTCAGAGTCACTGTCGGAGTGTGCGGAGCTCCCGGCCTCTTCTGAGTCAGAACAAGTCTTCTCTTGAGCTTCATTTTCTAGCAGTGCGGGTACCTTGAAATGATTTGAGAAACACAGTATTCAGAGACAATAGCTGTCATTATTAAACATGCTAGTGTTGCAATTCAAGTTTTAATGCTGCAAATGTCCATCCATCCTCGGAAAAATGATGTCAAAACAGCAGGAGTAATAGCAGGGATGAGGCCCACAAGAGCTGTTCCAGGGGTCCAAACAAAACCAAGTAAAGGCATGGGCTGCCCAGACTGGGGGATCAACACCTAAACCAGCCAGCAGACAGAAAACACGCTGAAGACTCACTGGGAAGACCTCACAGCTGCTTCCTTATGAACTACAGTTCTAACTACAATCTAAAGCAATCAGGAGGAAAGACAACTTTCAGCCAAGAGAATTTCTCCTGTTTCTGGAAATTAGGCTTTGTTTTTTTAAAACAGAAGAAAGCAGTTTCTACAAAGGAATGGTTTCTTTTTATAAAGATCTTTAAAGGAAATCGTACAAAAGGATTTCCTGGCCGGTTGTAACAAAACCTTCATGCTCTGATATTCCGTACCATTTCCTGCCCTGAACTAGGCTTGGCACCCATAATCCCAGCACTCTGAAGGCTGAGGCAGTGCCTGGGATTCAATTCTTCCCAGAGAAAAGACAGCCAATTGTCAAGAAGGAAAATGTGCTGCTTCATTTAAGCAGTTAATAAAGGGAGAACTGTTTTTATTACTAAATTAAAATTACTTAACCCCTGCTCTTATGTCCACTAGGAGTTTTACGGCACCACTAACATATCTTACCTTCTGAACTCCTGACAAATCTTTCTTCAGTCCTGTGACTGTCTGGTATAGAATCTTGCAACCAAAAGGAAAAAAAAAGAAAAAAACTAAAACACCAAAATCAGCTTAAGGTTCAACAGACAAATTGCATAATCAAAAACACTGTGGCTAAACAATCATAACTCACACAGATTCTATTATGCGTATTACTCGCGTCCAGACCTATAGGCCAAGTCTGACTTGGCAGCTGGTCGTCCTTACGTAAGAACACCTGCATCAGTATCACTTCTCATCTTTTTCTTATTAGTTATTACAAAAGGCTACATTCAATTACTACCAAAGGCAGTTTTAATTTCATGAATGAATGTTCCGGGCAAAATTATTTTCTCTTGATACTTATGGACCGACCACCTTTGCTTTTGCTTCTTGGCTTACAAAGCCTAAAATATTTGCTATTTGGCCCTTTAGTAGAAAAAACTTCTGCTGGACATGGTGGCACACACTTGCAATCCCAGCACTCAGGAAGACTGAGGCAGGAGGCTCATTGCAAATTTGAGACCAGCCTGGGTTACAAAGTGAGCTCAAGGCCAGCCTGAACTGCACAAGAGACTCTTTCTCAAAAAGAAAAAAAAAAAAAAAAAAAAAGAGCTGAGGTGAGGTTCGGCTCAAAAGCCATAGAACTTCTTCCCGAAATATGCACATTAATGGAATGCGTAATGAGGGATACAGGGCAACCCCGCCCAGCCAGGCTCCTGCATGAGCCTCA